CTTAAAGTACTATTTTCTTTAGGCCCATAGAAGTCTTTTTTTTTTTTTAATTGAGTGTAGCACGTGGTTTGAGGAGGTTACATACCACTAGATTAGGTTTTACTAGAGAGAGTAAATGGGTAGTATGCTCCTCAAGGAGCATGAAATCTTATGTGTCCATAAAGATATAGTATACACTGTAGATCTGTCATGAAATCGGTAAAGGATCTGATCAAGTCAAAGTAGTTGGACCACGAGTTAAATTAGGTTTTTAAAAACTAAGAAAAAAATAGGAATAATAGTTTTAACATATAAAATATGTTACAAAGAAGAAAAAATCAACTTTTTTTAATTAGTCTAACCAGCTAAAAACACTAAGTTTTCGACAAAATCTAATTTTTGCTTTAAACTGGACCAACCAAGACACCAATTGACATACCGATGGTCGAACTAGCAATTTGGTCCAGTCTTGCCAACTATGATTTATATGTGCGTAGAGGTATTTTATATTATATCTTGATTAGATGTCTATTAGTTAACAGAGTAACATATTAATTAGGACCCAACAAATATTGCTGGCGCCAAATTCTTTCATTAGTTTTTACTCATTCCTTGTCATTTAATCGAGATCGGTAAATAGGGGCCTTCAGACAAATTATGAGTGGGTAGAGAAATAAAAATATTTCACAACATAAACACTGGAAAAGTATACAATAAATTTATTTACTTTTATTACAAAATAATTACAATTGCACCTAACCATTAGACGATAAATTGAGCAGATGAGAGTGCTTACTGCTTAAATTCCCAAAAAACAATATCCCGAAACTTTGTGTAGAGAAAAATAAGATGGCTTGAGATGTTTATAACCTTTGTGGATGAAAGGCAAGATTCCCAATATCTACATTCCCTTTTATTAGCCTTTCTTGAAATCAATGGAATTGGTAGACAAAAATTTGATGAAAAAGTTTGTTAATGTTTTAATCAAGGATGTGATTTGTATAAGGCTAAGGCCCTAACCAATCAAAGTAAGGCGCACTTTGAAATAGTATTGAAAGATGTCATTCAGTACTGTAAATCTTTGTGATGGCTTGAATTTATTTTTATCTCTAATTATAAAATTTAATGTTTAAAAAATAAAATAGACTGAGTAGATCTATGAATACTTGATAATTTTGAAAATTGACGGTCTAGAAAATGCATTACAAGATGCACTATTTTCAATACTTGAAATCCATTTTTCTCATGTTCATACATCTTGAGGTCGAGATGATCTATTTGAGGATTTTAGCGCATCGGAACAATCTTTTCTGGTGAATTTTTTTTTGGTGTGCCTTAATTTGATTGTCTAGGGCCTCACCCTTATATAAGTTTTTTCCTTTAATTAAGATGCCATTTGATATTCAAAAGATATTGGTGGGTAATTAGGATAATGGTTCCATAAAACATGTTCTTTTTCAGATATTCAAATGTCATGGATGTTTTTTTAAAAAAACTTTTTGTGTAATATTGATTTCATTAGATGTGTTTAAGATCTAACTAATCTCTTGCTTAGAAACGTAACCATAGTAAATCTTTTTTATGGGTAGGTTTATACTTCCCCTAACCACTCATTCAATAGCATTGATGCATGTGATTTGCAAAACCAGTTAGGTAGCATTGAATTGATTGAGTTAAGAAAAATGTTTATTCTCATTTGTTTCTTTTTTCAACTTTCTCCTAAGGAAAAAATATTCTCTCCAACTTACGTCGGAAATTTGGGAAAGTATACAATGAGAGCACTTACATTTGTTACAAGGATGTCACAATTAATTAGAAATTTGGTTGCACTAAAAGAAAATTTGTGCCTCAATTTTGGAAACCAAATTAAAAAAAAAAAGGAAAAAGAAAGGACATTTACATTAACATTGCGACATTTTATATTGGGAAATTTATTAAAATGCCCATAAGATATGAACTGTTTAATATTTTATCTATATATTTGATTTTACGGAAATTATCACAAATATTCCTTAATTTTTGTCTATTTAGAAAAAAAACCTCAACTTTCATAAACATCTCCCACACATTTTTCTTTCAATTTTGGGCAGTTTTTTTACCAAAATAACCTTCACGGCCTTTACAGTAGTCGTATTACCGTCAAACACAATTACGGTACTTTAAGTATCGTAAAAACTAACCCATGTTATACATCATTTTAAGTACCATGAAAATTAACCCGTAAAAACTAATCCATGTTATACAACATTTTAAGTACCGTAAAAATTAGCCTGTAAGTTATGCACATGTTGTTATAAAAATGTCATTGGAGAGAGAGAGTTAGAGAGAGAAAGAAGAGATAAAAAAGAATTAGAGAGAAATAAAAGATAAACATAAAACTAATGAGAGAGGAAATAGATAAATATAAACAGAAGGAGAAAAGGGTTTATGGAATTTTGATTGCCATATAACATGAATTAGTTTTTACGGCACTTAAAATGCCGTATAACATGGGTTAGTTTTTACGGTACTTAAAATGCCGTATAACATAGGTTAGTTTTTACGGTACTTAAAAGTATTGTAATTATGCTTCACAGTAAAACAACCATCGTGAAGGTTATTTTGATAAAAAAAAAAAGGGCCAAAAATTGAAGAAAAAGAGTGTGGGCGAGGTTTATAAAAGTTGAAAGTTTTTTTTTTTTAATAGATGAAAATTAAGGTATATTTGTGATAAGTTCTCTTGATTTTATTTCAAAATATCCATGAAAAGGCACATTATCATGAGTTGGACGACTTGCAAATGTGCAAAATGTTAAATAGTGCATCCTTCGTGGGTTCTAGATAAATTTTCATTTTTTATATTATTGCGATTTCCAAAGGTGTGTTTTCTACAACGACAATGTTTTAAAATTGCAAGGCCCAATCGAAAGTATTTTTTAATGGGATTATATACTATAAGACTATTTACTTTTGATACAAAGAAGTCTCAATCATTTATAGCTATTGGATGTGAAATTCATTGGATTTAAGTGTATAACAACATTGGAGAAATTTTATTTTGTACTTTATGTCCAATCAATAACACATCCGTAACAACTCAATTTCACATTTAATGGTCAATAATGATTATGGCCTCCTTGTTCCAGAAGTAAATTGTCGCATTTAAAAGGGAAATGGGAACATATGTATAATACAAAGAAATTTACGCTAATATTTCTTATTTGCTCAAAATTAAAATTTAAACCCATACGTTGTAATTTATGCTCATAAGCTGATTTTTTTTATTTTTCTTTTCATTTTTTTCAAAGTTCCATTGGTTCAAGTTTCAAAATCTAAAACAAAACTGTTAACAAATTGGTTTGGAAATAGAAATTTTGAACCAGCTTTTTATAAATCAGCGGATCGAATTTTGAAATTACGAACTGGTTTGTTTTAGTCTTGGAAGAAGGGATTGATTTAAGTGAGGAGTGGGGTGGAGATTTTGAAATTTCGGACCCAAAAGTCAAATAAACCTATTTGAAATTTGAATTCCCAAACCATTTCATCGATAGTTTCGGCATGGATTTTGAAAATTTGAATCAATCCCATTTTGAAAAAACAAAAAAAACATCAATATGATTATAAATTACAAAATATAGGGATAGATTTTTAATTCCAGAAAAATAGGATGTTAGTATAAATTCTCTTATAATATGTCAAAGACAACTTTATCAAGGAAATAAGGATGCAACCTTATGATGTAGAACTATAGATGCACCTACAAAATTTAGCGGAACATGTAGTGTTAATGTTGAAAAACTCTTTGATTGATCATCTTGACATCGAGATGTATAACCATGAAAAATAAAAAGATTTTCAGTCTCAGAAATAGTGCATTTTACAACATATTATCTACATCGTCCATTTTCAAGATTTTCACATGTTTATAGATCTACTTGATTTTAACCATTTTTTAAATTTTAAATTTTATAATTAGATATAAAAATAGATTTAGAGATAATCTTGAGAACATTTTACATCAAAATTATATAGCATGATAAAATTTGAAAGTGCACCTTACCTCCGGATGCATCCGAATGCCAACTGCACCCTTTTATTAAAGATGTTGTTTCTATGAGGCTTAGCTTTATGATAACAAAGTGAAGCCTCACCTTGAATCTTCATCTGAAAAGCATTATGGGCATAATAAATATCTACGATACTTCTAAAATCAATTTTTGACATTGACTATTAAATTTGAAGCTAAGAAAAGATGTCGATCTTTCGAAATTATAAACATTTATTTTTGAGTAAAATAGGCGGTTTAGATAACATATTACAATATATATTATTTTTAGATTATTCTAATTCGTTCACGACCATAATGTTCAATAGCAAGATGATCGAGTTGAAGATTTTCCAATGCAGAAGTGCAATTTTCATTGAATTTTGTGGATAGGCTTTATCTATTTTGAAAGGGCAGTCTATTTTGATACCCTATCAAAATATTTTCCTCTTATTAATTTCTCTATTATTATCCTAAACTTCCCAAAAATTTAAAAGGAAATTCAACATATTCATTACAAATGGACGTCTCCTCGCCGAGGAATTGCCGAGTAAATCAAACCGCTCAACCCGTTAAAGAAAAAGAAAAAAGAAAAAAAAGCCAATAAAACAATTCAAGAAAATCCACCGTCTGTCCGTACGTGAGTTGACGGTGGCGTTAGCGTTTTGACGAAACTCAAAAAGGAGAAGAAGAAGCCTCAAAAAGTTCAAAGCCCCCTCTCTCTCTCTCCTCTCTTCTTTCTCTCTCTTCTCTCCTCTCTCTTCTTCTCTCTCTTCTCTTCACTTCTCTCTTCTTCTCTCTCTCTTCTCTCTTCTTCTCTCTCTCTTCTCTTCTCTTCTCTCTTCTTTCTCTCTCTCTTCTCTTTCACTTCTCTCTTCTTTCTCTCTCTCTTCTCTTTCACTTCTCTCTTCTTTCTCTCTCTCTTCTCTTTCACTTCTCTCTTCTTTCTCTCTCTTCTCTTTCACTTCTCTCTTCTTTCCTTTCTCTCGTCTTTCACTTCTCTCTTCTTTCTCTCTCTTCTCTTTCACTTCTCTCTTCTTTTCTCTCTTCTTTCTTTTCTCTCGTCTTTTTCACAGCCTTCGTCTACCCATAAATCAACTGAAGAGCTAAAGTTCGAAACCCCCTCTCTGTCTTCTTTCTCTCTCCTCCTGTTCACACTCTTACCCCTTCGCCTACTCCCCTTAAATCATCGGAAAAGAGCCTTTCGATCGAATTCTACAAAACCCATTTCCCAGATTCCAATTTAACCCCCATTTTTAGCCTGGAATTATTCCTCCAAATCCCCCTGTTCAAGCTTCAAGCCATGAAAAACAGCGGTTCTGATGGCCGGAGAACCACCTTTCTGGCAGTTTCTCCCGGAAGCTTCTTTTCCACATCGAAAAGAGAGAACCCAACCTGTTGATGGATGGTTTTAGTCTGATAATTCCTTTCCTTGAAGGCGCCCCAACTCCTGGTTTTTGCAGAGAAAACACTTTTTCTCCATGGATGAGAAGAAGCCCAATCCGAAATCCACATTTTCAAGTGATTTTTCAAGCTCGGAAACCACCATCGATTCGATGGCCTCGTCTTCGTATCTAATTGGCGATCAAAGTGATGAACTATTGAGTGGTTTTGAGTGGGGCGGATATAGCGGTTTTCAGGCATTTTTGGAAGAGTTTTCAGGCCAAAAGGTGCCGGAAAACCACTCTTGGCCACAATTTCCGGCGACCACCAAACCAGGAGAGGCCTCTACTCCTAATTTATCGGTTTCTTCCTCTTCTAGTGATGATTTGTCCACAAAACCAAGTGATGATACAAAACCAGATCAAAAAAAGTGAGTGGTTTCAAAAAAATATAACTTTTTTTTGGTTTCATCCTATCAAAGATAAATAGAAAAACGTAACATAGAGATAGAAAAAATAGTATCTACCAAGGAAATGATAAATTTATAATTAATAGTGATAATAATAATACTAATTATTGTGACTATATTAGTAACTTTTAAATTATAAATTAATTTATTTGAGGGCTAATATTGATAATTAGTGGTGGTAGCAGTGAGATTAGGAGTCATTATATTTAATAATCCAGATTATAAGAGTGATAATAATAGGTGGTGAATTCATATATGAGGTTCAAATAGCACTAATCTCAAAAGATGTTTATTGATTTCTTTTGTGTTTATTGATCAAATTAATGTAGTGATAAGAGATACAAAATTCAAGTTTTCTTGTTAATATGAGGAATATTTGTTGGTAATTCGTTTCCCTTTTACTGTTTTTTATTGCTATGAAAGTTTAGCAATATTCTTTGCATCCAAACAAACTCTCGCATTGTTATTATTTTTTTCTAAACCTTTGTTAATCATGGATAATATTGAGATTAGTTATGAGTATTTCTTCTAGTTCTACTATTTCGATAATTATCATCGTATTCTTGTTGTTTGGGTGGTTGAAGGTATATGATATTCTGACTTACTCCAGGTTCTCATTGTTGTTGTTATTGTGATTTTTTTTTTTGTTGGTTCGGAGTTCCTATGGGATCCGGTGAATTAGTGCGGGCATGACCGCACCAAAGCTTTGTTGTTGTTATTTTTATTGTTATTATTGGGTTATTCTAGTTAAAAATTGAAAAAATATTGGATTTGTAGGAATAAAGAGAAGAAGAAAGGTCAAAAGAGAATAAGGCAACCAAGGTTTGCTTTCATGACTAAGAGTGAGGTAGATCACTTAGAAGATGGCTATCGCTGGAGAAAATATGGGCAAAAAGCTGTGAAAAATAGTCCATTTCCAAGGTATAATACCTCCCCAATTGCACTCTATATTTCCTCTATTTCTTTAATTTCCCAATGATTTGACTCTTTTCATGTGCAGTTCACACTAAATTGATATTCTCTATGTTGCATTTTCTTAAGAAAATTTCCATTTTATTATTATCATTTCTTAGTTATTGACCATTTTCATGCGTCTTTCACACAGCAAATGGATCTTCTCTGGGCTGTTTCTAGAGGATATTTCATTAATTATTAACATTTCATAATTATTGAGTAGTGCACTAATTTCTTTGTTGGATAACCATTATTTGCAGTTTACTTGTTTTTGCTTTATTTTTTTTTTGTTAAATTATTTTGTTCTTAAAAAAGGGGTTAGTGGTACCAAGTTCTTGGAACTCATTCATGAGATTGAATGCAGTATTTTGATGTATCATCACAAAGGCTTATATCAATTTATACCAAACTCTTGGCCCAAAACAAAATGAGGTCCACTTAATTATATTCTCGTAATTCTTTTCCTTATCATTAAGTAAGCTAGGCTGTCCCTCACTGTACATTAATTTGTCTCATATCTACGCCATTTCCATTTCGGGCAATAAACCAGTGTTTGAGCTTTCATTCTAGGTCTTATGCTCATTTCACAGACCTATTAACCAGAAAAAATAAATAAATAAATTATAAACCTAGAAAAGGGCAAAAAAAAGAAAAACAGAAACAATGGAGAAAAATCCTATTAATATTTACCATGAAATATCACAGGAGTGCCAAAACACAAACTATACCTACAAGAGGTTAGAAAAAGAAAATTTCTACAAAAAAAAAAAAAAAAGAAAAAAAAAAAAGTAAGATAAATCCTATTAATATTACCGATGATTTTCATAGGAGTTACTATCGGTGCACTAATCAGAAGTGCACGGTAAAGAAGCGGGTCGAACGATCCTCCGAAGACCCGAGCATCGTGGTCACAACATATGAAGGCCAACATTGTCACCACACAGTCTCGTTCTCACGTGGGAACCCCGGGCCTCGAGAAGGAGCCTTCCAGGAGCAAATCCCCACCTCTTCTTCGAATCGATATTTCCCACCCATGCAATTCCGGTCGGTGGTGCCGCCACAGGTTCAGCTAGGCCAAGCGGCACGCATATCGAATGATCAAAGTACTGAGATCCAAAACGATGAGGGTTTGTTGGGAGATATCGTGCCCGGATCCATGCGTAGCACGTGAGGCATGAGAGTTGACACCTATATACTCTGTAAGTTCTCAATTTTGTTTAGATTCTTCTTGTTTTCAATCTTCTTCTTCCTCTCTCTCACACACACACAGTGGGAATATGTTCAGACACACACAGTGGGAATATGTTCAGACACACATTTATTGTGAAAATGCAACATGTGCAAGGTCTCTCTCTCACACACAGACTTTTACATTTGAGTTTATTTGAACACAAATGTGTGTGTTCACACAATTGTGTTTCTATTTTCACACATCATTTACAAACCTCTCTCTCTTGACAAATCTCTCTCATTCTCACTCTTGAAGAATCTCCCTCTCTCTCTATCACACACACATTATGAGTGCACAAAATGTGTGTATGTGTTTTGGTATAGAAACCAATTCCAAAGCAATCTGTGTTTTTGAATCCAAAATCCAAAGGCAGCTAAAAACCCTAAAACTAGCCATGGAATGGTGCTACAAGGGAACCACTCTAGACCCCAAAATGAAAGAAAATCCTGAACAAAATAAATAATTAATAATATGAAAATAATGATAAATAACTAATAATTGGATATACAACAAAATAAAAACTAATAAAAATCTCATACTATAAAGATCAAAATATGTAACTACTATTTTTCTATAGTCATCATTATCATCACAGATACTATAAAGAACACAATATTATCTTTTATCTCCAAATACAAACAGCTGGCTCCAAATAAAAGGAGCACGTGAGGAATTATAATATTTTAAGGAGGAAATATTGCTTACGAAACTCTCATACGGATTACGTGACTTTTTTATTCTTTTTTAAATGATGAATTGTGTGACCTTTTTTTTGCTATTTCTGTTTAGGTTCTATGATTTTCTTTGAATCTTATGTGACCTTCTTTCTTTTTTTGAATGCTGGATTATGTGACCTAGAATCTTAACGAAGAAACTACGCGCGCCTGCGGGCGAAAATGGGAAGTGTTTTCGCCCATAGGTTCATCACCGTCCGAAAAAATTAGACGGCATATGTTTTTCGACGCCCATGAATCTAGCAGATTCGTAGCGGTATCGTCACAGACCTAGTAAAAAAATCACGTAGAACCATAACAAGTCCGTGATGGGTCTGTTCAATAAACCGTCATGAATATAGCAAGTCTGTGATGGTGGCGAAACATTGAATACACACATATATATATATGCGTATGTATATGTGTGCATTTGTGCGATATATATATATCTATATGTACGCGCGCACGTGCATGTGAGGGTTTTTATGGGGGTATATGTAGGTGTGTATGTGTGTGGTCGTGCGGGGTTATAGGTATTGGGGTATATGTAGGTGGGTGTACGTGCGCGGTCGTGTGTATGGTGGTTTATGTAGGTGTGTGTGCACGGTCGTGCACGGGTTTTTGTATGAGGGTATATGACCATGACTTCATATAGTCATATGGCCATGACATGTAACATGGGTTGTGATCGGTGCTAAATATATGGGTGTGGTTTCTATAAGGCTGCAGCTTTAAACAATGCAATTATGGCGCACTTCCAAATTTTATCATATGTAATTTTGTTATTAAAATTTTTTAGGATTATCTGAAAATCTATTTTCATATCCAATTATAAAACTTTAAACTTTAAAAATAATTAAAATCAAGTAGATCTATAAACATATGAAAATCTTGAAAATGGATGGTCTAGATAATGTATTGCAAGATGCATTATTTCTAAGACTCAAAATATTTTTTTTTTCATATACATACATCTCGATATTGAAAGGGTTTTTTAATATTAAAACAACTTTTTCCAATAGATTTTTGAAGTGCAATTTTACATTTTAAGGTTGCAACTTTATATAAACTATTATATATATATATATTTGTCATGTCTTAGTGTTTTTTTCTTTTTTCTGGTTTTTTTTGACAAAAACAATAAAAAATCAGTCTCTTTTCTCGATAAGGATTGGACATTATCATAAAACGCGGTTTGTTTTGTCTAGGTATCTTATTTTGTTGTTTTTGATAGAGAGAGGGGGTATTTGTTGTTTTTGTAGAGAAAGAGAGCTAGGGCTTAGGACCACCGTTATCTCAATTATTGTCAATCTTATCCCTCCATTATCTCAATTATTAGCAAACTGATGCCCATAGCCTGTGGCCCTGGTGGAACATCTCTCTCTCTCTTGATCAATTGCAGCCTCTCCCCTATCTCAGAAGATCAATTGGAATTTAATTCTCTCTCCCTAAGTTATTTGAAGTCTATCTCCTTATAAGTTCAATTTGCAGTCTCTCTTTTCCCTTTCTCTCTCTCTATAAAATCATTTGAAGTATCTCTCCCTCATAAGTACAATTCTCATAAGAACGATAGAAGTCTCCCTCTCCAAGTCATCCATGTCATCTCTCCTACTTATAAGATCAATTGAAGTCTTTTTCACGAGGGTTGTAAAAAGATTGTCCTTGTAATATATTATAATTTCTTTTGATAAAACAAGTAGGGGCTTCACATGGAAAACTCAACAAGTAGGGGCTTCACATCGAAAACTCAGCTGGTCCAACTCGGAACCAGCCGGTCAAACTGGAACCGGGAGCTGGCCTATCCAATTTTAGCCAATTTTGGTGGTCTGGCCAGATATTTAAAAAAAGATTTGTTTGTAATTTGTTTTTAAATGTTTTTTATCATTTTGGCAAAGATTAGAAAGTGTTTTGACCCTGAATACTTATTTTTATATTTTTCTTTTTTAAAAAAAAATTTCAAAAATACCATTGGGCACAAATGAATTTTTTAAAATCCATTTTTTTTACTCCTTTTCAACTTCATTCGAATGTACTTTGTTTAATCAAACTTTAAATATATTTTTCATATTTTTTGTGCTTTATTTATATTTTTTAACACTTTTTTGACCGGTCGGGACCTGCTCGATTAGACCAATTGAATCAACAGATTTACCTGTTACTCTGACCTAGCCCTTGACCAGTTCAATTTTTTAAACATCGATCCCCATTGATTCACCCAAAAAATAAAAAAATCTCCCCCTTTTTCTGTCTTAAAATCATTTGAACCCTTTCCCTCTCAAAGAAATCTATGGAAGTCTCTCTCTCTCTATCATAAGATTAATTGAGGCAACTCAACTTTTCAAACAGTTTATGTGGCAGTAGTCCACCTTCCCAAAGAGGAATGCACGGTTATGATGGTATCAAATCTTCTCACCTGCAAGTGCTCCTTTGATTTAATTTTAGTTATTCCTTTCAGTTTTTTCTCCAAACGCTAAAGGCACAAGTCTCTCATATTCCTAGGATGCGAAGGTTTGCTCCATTTCATGAAAGAAACTACATTTTTCCTTTCTCACTCTAACTCATATCTTGATGCCAGGCCTTATTTTCACTCATATTTTTCTATATATGTCAGGGAATGAGATGGGCCTTAGTGAGAGACTCATCTTCACTTCATGGAGAGGGAGATTCTTGTAAGAAAAAGTCTGTTCATATGGATACAAGATTGTTATGTGAGAGAAAATTGGTTGGAGGGATGAGATAGAAACTGCTCCAAAGTAAGAGAGAGAGAGAGATGCATGCACTTTAGAGGTTTATGGAACTAGTATTGCCTAGCATCATTATGTGACCACTGGTTGGGGACCTGAATTTTGAATACAAATTATATGAGCTACCATATCATTCTCTCAATCAAATTTGTGCCCTTTATCTAGTCATGATGTGAAAGATGCCTACTTGTATTGTGGTATGGGATGACCTCATATGAAAGAGAACTTTTTAGAGAGAGAGAGAGAGAGAATACTATAACTTTCAGCCTCCTCAGAGAGAGAGAGAGAGTAGTAGTTAGTATATAGTGTAGTTAGGTAGAGTAGAGTAGTAGTGTAGTTGTTTGTAGAGAGAGAGAGAGAGAGAGAGAGAGAGAGTTTTGTATCATTGAGTTTGGGTTAGAGTGAGAGAGAGTCTGTATCATTGAATTTGGGTTAGAGAAAGAGAGAGGGGTTTGAATCATTGAGTTAGGGTTTGAGAAAGAGTGTGCGGTTTGTATCATTGAGTTTGGGTTAGAGATTTTTCTCAGATAGACCTTTGTATTATTGAGTTAGGGTTAGTTATTTTCTTTATCTTTGACATGCATGCATACTCTACATTCGAAGGCACGCATGCGCATCCATCCATAAACATGTTTATGATTCATTTTCTCTCTCATAATTTGCTTATCATGTGCCTCTCAGTTGCATGCTACATACATATGCATTCTTACATGTCTCTATCCACATCTATCCATACCTACTACATACATGCATGCATATCCATACACATATATTCTCCAGACATTTAATGCCTTGTAGCTTTCTTTCCTTCTATGGTTATATTCCTCTAGTATAATCATATACGGTACTTTAGAGAGAGAGAGAGAGTAGTTTCTCTCTAATGAGGAGAGAGAATGCGCATGATACACGTGGAGTACAAAAAAATATGAAATAGTTATGGATTTTGACGTGAGAAGAGAGAGGGAGTACATTTTGAAATGGTAGGGTACATTGAGAAAAAGAATTGTGGAGAGAGAAAGAGGAGAATTTTGAAGAGAGAGAGGGAAAAGAGGGACTATATTTAGAAATGGTAGGGTATATTGAGAAATAGAATTGTGGAGAGAGAAAGAGAAAGAGAGAGAGAGAGAGAGAGAGATAGAGGAGAATTTTGAGGAGGAGAGAGAGAGGTGGTGTTATTGGCCTACTGGGCGCTTATATTTGACTGAAGAGGGAGAAAGAGATGCCTTGAGTGCAGTGTTGCTAGTGTATAACTTTTTATTTCGTTAGATGATGATGATGATCATCCCACTCACCATGTCAAATTCAGAGAAGACTGATTTATTCTCAAACTTAACCAACAAAAAGTCCCCCTCATTTGTATATGCCAAGCCATCTCTCTCTCTCCCCCTCTCAAACTCGTAGACCAGACCAAGAAAAATTATTTAGTTTTGGAAAATGGTTTGGTAGGGCTGCGGCCCTATTAAAATAAGTAAAGTCTCACCTTATAACTCATCGAAACTTGTAATTTCAGTATTGAAAAACCTTTACATCGATTATCTTGGCTTGAACACAATAATTGTGAAAAAAATTAAGATTTCAAGCTCTACATATAATGTGTATTGTAACCAATTATTTAGGTCATCCATTTCACCCTTAGAAAAGCATTCATGGAATTATAAGATCTGTACTATTTTTTGAGTTTCAAGTATCATTGTCGGTATTGAAAATTGATTTTAGAGCCTCATGGAAATTTTTTTTTGGCGAAAGTACTTTTGGGACGAGGATTTAAAAAGAGGCTTTATTTTGTTTTTATAAGCCTTATAGAAACTTCATCCTTTAGGTTTTTACTACTAGTACCACTATTTGCAAAACCGACAGGGTCAACGTGGACCAGTATTGGCCAGTTTTGGTGCTCAAGCGAGGTGAGGATTGCTTAGGGACCATGAGGGGTCTGTTATTTTCTCTTGTGCAGGTCCTTGTGGCCACACCAAGGCCAACCATGCTGAAATCTACTCCCTCTTGTGACGGTTGGAACTTGTTGTTGGCAAGAGAATTATGGGATGTGTTCTTATTAAAAGAGATTCATTCAATGTCATTAAATGGCGTAAGCCAAGCAAAGAATTTTTTGGACTCTTCATGGTTTCGAGTTGAAAGTCATAGATCTTTGCTCTACTCTGGGTTTACAAATCTCTTTTTTTCACATTTACCGTGGGGCTAATGGAGCTGCAGATAGCTTAACTAACGAGGATACCTTTCTTTCTGCCTTGTCTATTTATGATGTTCTAATTTATGCATTTTAATGTTATCTTGTTTCAGCCCACCATCAATAAAAGTTCCTAACATTGTACAAAAAAAAAAAAAAGTTTCAAAAATAAGAAAATATTTTATATTGTATTTTTTTTATTTTTCTAACAATTTGGCAAAGCTTGGAAAGCGTTTTGGCCATGAATATTTATTTTAACATTTGATCTCTTTTCTGATTTTTTTCTAAAATACTGTTGCTCATAAAATTATTTTTTCACAACATTTTTTTTAACCTCTTCTGGATGTGTTTTTCTTTAATTTTACTTTGAAACATAATTGGCATATTTTTTAGATTTTTCATCATTTTTGTCTAGACCTACTAGAGCCGGGCAACCAGCCTTGGGCGCCGGGTTCGGGTTTTCGTACAATCTCACTAGTGGTCCACTACTAATGTGGCTATTTAATTCGGAAAGTAACTGCAACCTCCCACTACTGGACTCTCTCTCTCATATGACAAGCCCGATGCAGTAAAGATCTATCGTTATCAAACTTTTTGAACTCTCATTCTCAAGTCGAATTCATCTCTCTCTCTCTCTCTCTCTCTCTCTAATTGAGCTGGATTGCACCTGTCATGACCAGAGTTCATGAATTATCCAAAACGTACCTCTATTCTTTCTCCCCTTACCCTTTGCAGATCAAGTATCATAGAACTCTCCACTCACAAAAACCTCTCTCTCTCTCTCTATCACTAGAATACCTGGCTCTTCTCTCATTGTGGATATGAATGCTAAGGCACCATGTCAAATTTATATCAGATTATCAACCAGAATCACTTCCCATCTCTCTCTAGAAATCTCCTCTCACTATGGAAAGGAAAATTGTTTCATGCTGTCTGGATTGCTTGTCTGCAATATGCTTTCCAGAGGTGCGTAGAATCCATCAATGCAAATGGGTGGTCCATTTAAATACAATTGTAACTAACTGATCAGATGGCTTTTAATATAGTTTTTATATTTTATTGTTTTCATATTCATTATTTTCATGTTAAAATTTTTATAATCTCTGAAAATTAAGACCAAATTATATGTAAAAAATATATTTATTATCAAGCCCGCATTTCTACATGCAGGCGAGAACGCATGGAAACCGTTTCCAAGCGAAAATAGAAGCTTAGTCATATCATACAGTCAAATTCATTCTCGACTGCTAACAAAAAATCTCTCTCTCTCTCCTTCACATATTCTCTCTCTCTAAATTTTTTTTTAATAGACAAATTTTTTAAAAAAAAATTATAAATTCATATAAGAGTGAGTATTTTCACTCCCTCCTTATCATTCTAACTGGGGTTTACCTTTTCTCTCTCTAGAAACTCGAAAAAGAGATCTTTCTCTCTCTAAAAAGGACCCACTTTTGATAGGGAATGGGGCACCATACAACTTTTTTGACTATTCAAAACCCCATGCTGTGCTGTGCTGTGGTGATCAATTCATGAGTTGATTGGCCTAAAAATTAAATTATATTAAATATTAAATTAATTGGTTCTCATGTGTGACACCAGGGCTAAATCGTGCCACGTGTTGAGAATCCCCTGGCTGAAGGGATTGCCTATGGAATCAAAGTACGTGTCGCGTTCACCATCGTCCACTTTTCACACGCGTGATACCATGACGTCATCGACCCTACAACCCAGCCGCGATACGCGCCGCAATTCCTCGGCATGAATAGCGGAACGGGGACATCGCCAAAAGGTCGCCAATTCCTCGGCGTCCGCTTGTGTGCGCTTTGAGGGGAGAAATGACTAAAGTGCCCCATTTGTGTTTCTCTCCGTGTCTAAAATGCCCCTGTTTATATAAAAAGGCCGATGTCGTTTCATTACAATTCACGGCTTCAAAAACTACTAACTAATTCAAAAACGGGTAAGGGCATCAAATTAAAAAAAAAAAACCTCTTTTAGGTTTTGTGCATGTGAATGTAGAGTAACTAGAATGGATTTGGGTCTGCTAAAGGTCACAAACTCCATTCTTTTTAATACTTTCAAAAAATTGGTTTTTTTTTAAAAAAAAAAGGTAGGAGCATGTAATTCTCATTGATCTACCCCATAAAAGAAACAAAATAATATAGAGTATAGGAACATTGCTTTTTTTAAAAAAAGTCTATATAAGGATAGTACATTGATCTACCCCCGAAAAGAAAGAAAATAATATAAAGTATGGGAACATTGTTTTTTTTTTCGGAAAAAGTCTACATAACGATACTACTTGTAGAACTACAGATGCCTCTCAAAAATCCATTGGAAAATATAGTTTTAATGTTGAAAAACCCTTTGATTGATCATCTCGACATCGAGATGTATGACCATGAAAAATAAAAAAGATTTTAAGTGTAAAAAATAATGCATTTTACAACATATTATCTACACCGTCTATTTTCAAGA